GCTTTTCTGTCCTCTAAGATGCCATCTAAACTGCCTCTGTGAGGCCATCTGACTAGAAAAAATTGACCCAATCTCAGCTAATCAAAATGGGAAAAGGAACATTCAAAAAAGTAATGTGAAAAGGACTCCTTCCCACATCTGCATAGGTAACATCTTGAGGCCAATTTCAATGCTTTTAATTTCAAAATGCCATCAAGAGGAAGCAGGAAAAAGAAATAACGCCAAAGAAAGAAGGAGATAGAGGTAGACATGTAGCTATGTCATATCATCTTTCCCCATTTCCAATATTCAAAAGTATGCATATTAGAGTAAAGCAATTTAGAAATAGAAGCATTAGAAGTAAACATCCAAACAGGTTTTTCAGGCTTATCAGGACATAAGGGGAGTTTAGCAATGGGTTCGGCATTATCGCCCAACAACTCCCTAAGTTTACCCATGTCCCAATGACCATTTTCCCAACAATCAGAGATCAACATATCTCCAGCCAAATTAAATTCTTCCTCACGAAAAGAGGAAAGCCCCCATTGTTCATGGAAAAAAAAAAACTTTTCCCTTTCCAATATCCCAAAATATAAATTTATTAACCACATTTCTAGCCTTCAAAATGGCCTTCCAATTTTGGAATCCCCAATTTTCCTTTGAACCGTAGAGGGGTGTTAATGAGAGCAATACTTGTGTTGCAAAAATTGGGCCCAAAGGGAAGAGCCCTGCCTAAATTTAAACAACAGCTTACACGTGTTAATATCAAGTATATGTTGCAAATTTTTGAAACCCAAACCTCCAGAGAGCCGAGGTTTACAGCCTTTGTGCCAGTGTGTCCAAGTTTTGGAGGAACCATCTCCAGCCCAAAGAAACTTGTTAAAAAGGTATTCTAATTCTTTTTGTGTACTCTTTTTCATATAAATAACTTGCATAGTGTATAAAGATAGTGAGTGTAGAACACTTTGTAACAAGGTCAACCTCCCCCCAAATGAAAGAAAAACATTCCTCCAATCATGAATGTGAGACTTGATTTTGTCAATTACAGCATCAAATTGTGTTTTTTTTCTCCTTCCATGAACGAGATTAACACCAAGGTACAGAAGAGGCAGAGATGCTTTAGAGAAAGCAGTAAAAGAGGTGGCCCAAGTAGTAATAGCAGAAGCAATCGAGTTACCAAAATAAAGATGGCATTTGTTATTGTTAAACAAAAGACTAGAGTTTTGCTGAAAGATGTTAAGGTACTTTACCAAAGTTTTAAGAGAGGGTCTAGAAACATTGGTAAAAATGATAGCATCGTCAGCATAGGCTAAGTGACTGACTAAAACCTTGGATTTATGCCTGAAATGAACATGGGGGGTGTTTTTCCTGCATAAAACTTATGAGGCGTGAAAAATAATCAAAAGCCATAATGAAAATCGTAGGAGAGAACGGGTCTCCTTGCTTGATGCCTCTATGAGCAGAGAAAAAACCATAAGGATTGTCGTTAACTAAGATACTATAAAAATTATTTTCCAGCCAGCATTTAATCAAACTGCAAAACCTAGCCTCAAAGCCTTTGGCTTTCAAAATGCTGAGAATAAACTCTCAATTACTTGTATCAAAAGATTTTTTCAAATCAAGTTTGACAATCAAGTTGCCACCTCTACACTTCCTATCTAGATCCTTTAGCAATTCTTGTGCAAGAAGTATATTATCAAAAATTTCCCTCCCATGAACGAAGGTTGATTGTTGATGGGAGATGAGTTTCGTGAGGTGAGGTTTGAGTCTAGAGACACTCAGCTTGCTGATAACCTAAGAGATAATGAAAGTAAGAGATATAGGTCGAAAGTTTTCCTAGCTATTTTTAACAGTAGTTTTAGGTATGAGCACAATTAAAGAGGAGGAGAAGAACTTCTCAGGGGTATGCCCCATAAAAAAACTTTGAATGACAGCAACAACCTCCTTGTGAATAATATCCCAACAGTATATGTAAAGGAATGAAATGAAACCATCAGGGCCAGGAGCCTTATTCGCATTAATGTTTTTGAAAGAATTGAAGATCTCCTGTTCAGTAGGAATGTCAATAAGGGACAAGCCAGCCACATAGTCTCTGTCTTTGTCGAAAAATGCATTATTGATAGGAGTAACCTGTGAAGTAGAAGCAAACAGATCAGTGAAATATTGAACAGCACTATTACCTATCTCGCCTTCATCTGTGGTGAAATCCCCATTAGAGTTTTTGATCTTGAGAATGGAATTTATATTTCTAGAGAATGATTCATATTGAGGACATGGTTATGAAAATATTGAAATGGACTCTAGATTTTGATCCTAAATCAGAACCTCCTATTATCCCTGTCTGGATTTGGTTTCCTGGTTTAAAGCTCCATCTGTTTAATCACGAAATTTTATTCTCTTTTGCCGCAGCCTATGGGAAACCATTGCAAATGGACACTCCTACTTTCACTCTTACTAGGCCTTCTAAAGCAAGGGTTTTGGTTGAGCGTGACATCTCCCAACCCTTTTGTGATGAGATTTGGATTGGGTCGCAGCACCACGGCTATTGGCAACCTATGGAGATTGAAAGATATCCTCACTACTGTTCACATTGTTGTATGTTTGGGCATCCTATATATATATTATATATTTATATATATATATGTGTGTGTGTGTGTGTTTGTGTGTGTGTGTGTGTGTGTGTGTGTGTGTGTGTGTGTGTGTGTCATGTGATTTACATGCAATGATATATGGACTAATGGAAAATAATGAATGTCATGTGAATGAAAATTTTGCAACATCCCTCTTGAAGTATCTTAATAATCACATAGTATTAATGTGTTGATAGCAATGAGCATATGTTCAACGCATACTCACTATCCATCATCATCAATTCACTAGAGATTGTTAATTGACATACATGACAATCTTATTATTTTTAAAAGAATTATAGTTTGCTGATTTTTTTTTTTTTGTAATTAACAATTGGTTTTAAATTATTTTATGTTTTTTATATATCTTTATTACAGTGTTAGTCACCAAAAAATTATGGAGACTAAAGAAGGATTATTAAACCCCTCAAAATGTTTCTATAAGACGATAAACCCTAACGATCAAAAGTACAGGTTAAGAATAGGAACAAATGAAAAGCCCTATTTTTTTCCTTTGAATGGTTAAAAATCAATTGAAGATCAATAAAATCTTATGTGTTGATTAGTCCTAGATGAGTTGTTGAAACTAAGTGTTGTAGAGTTAGTTTGTTGCAAGATATTAATTTCTAATATACGATAAAATATAAATGGGGAAAAAAAGATTGATTTTTTGCTAGATAATATTAATCTTAAATAAATATGTTGAGGCTAGAAGCAAATAACGTTTTCTTCATTTGATATCAATCTAACTAGCTAGCCAATGATATATACGGAAGAGCAAGTAAATAATTTTTTTCGCTATTACGAACCTCAAGGAGGAGGAGCTTCTAGAATTGCATGAAGAATTTATGATGACGTACAAATATTATATAGGTGAAATTTCAATGAATTAATGCAATTTAAGACAACTTCCTGTAGTCCTTCTATGAGATGGAGGTTTCCAATCTGTAGATTTTCAGCAATGATCAAATGGGACGCGGCCTCCAAAATTATATCATATGCAAATAACGGTCAATATTAATTAAATATACATAAACAAAGAAAAATTAGATAGAAGAATCTCATTTGAATGTGCTGCTCATGAGTTAGCTATCACTGACATGGATGTGTGGGTCAATGTCCGCCTTGAGGGCATGTTCATTATGCCATGGTGCGCATTGACATGGATGTCGACATCCACCCTCAGCTTTTAAATCTGAAATAAAAAGAAAGTATTCATATAGCAGCAAGCCATAAAGAATGCACAAATGAAAGCTCAAGTTATTAAACAATTTACTTAAAATTATTTGGATTAGAATGGAAGGATGACCTATATATTATGTCCAACAATGCTGGATAAACATCTAGTCTTACTAGGCCTGCCAGCAGAACATCTCCTTATGATGAATTTTTATCCAAAATTTGAATAACATTATACACAAGCTACATCAGCTTTACGTCTAAAGTTTTGATGGAGACAATTCAAGTATTTTAGCACTTGGATTTAGACATTATATATATGGAAACAAAATAGATGATATATTTGTGTTTTATAACTGTGCAACTCCCTATAGCTATTGCTATGGATTAACTCAATTTGAAATGATCTACAAGTAAAATTGAAAACTTGTTTCTAGTTTATTGCTATATAGTATTGATAGGCACATTGATTTAAAACAGGACTATAATAGATTCACCAAGAGGTGAGCATTTGGTCAGCTTAGATGAATATGTTTTCCAATTTGTGAAGCCGATTACATCCAAATGTCAAAAAGTTGAACCGAATTTAATATTGTTGGAACAGTTCGATTATGAACAAATCAAAATTTAGTTATTAGTTGGAGTCCTGCCCTGAACAAATATCAAGAATAATATAAATTTAATTTCACGATCCTCTATTTGATTATTTTGATATTTCAATTTGTTTATTTGTTCAGTTAAATGGAAAGTAGTGGATATTGAGGTTTTCAAAACCCAAAAATGAAGTGCATTTTTAAAATGAAACTGAATCAAGAAATAATATAAATTTTAAAAATTGGGGACTCACATCAAGTGAATAGGCAGACTATAAATATATACAACACAGATTAAACATGTGTTGCCGATTTGACCAGTGACAGAAGTCCTTGTAAAATAAAAAAAAAATGATATTTTTGTGTTAAAAACTTGGCAATGTGTTTTAAAATTACATTTTTGCAATGCAAGTTAAATATTGTTCATTTAACCGTGCAAATTACCAGAGACCAGTAGGAAAAGAGGTGACACAAGTTTGGGGCGGGGCGGGGAAGCTGGTCCCACTGTTCGGGTCCTCGGGGAACATTTGGGCCCACATCTGCCCTTACCTTTCTCAATATAGTTCAGCATTAAATTGCCTTTCGCAGTAGTCCCTCACACATACACACAGTGACGGTACCCTCCTCCAACTCTCTTCTATCTATTCCTTGTTTCTCCATCATCCATCCATCCATTGTTCTAACTCTTACTGCTTGCCTATTCCTTAATTAGCCTGATCAGCAGTGCAGAGGGAAGAGAGAGATGTCCAGCCCTAGGAGCAACGCCAGGCCGATCACTGACGATGAGATCAGCGAGCTCATCTCCAAGCTCCAATCTCTTCTACCCGAGTCTCGCCGGCGCCGCAACACCACTAGGGTTTGTGTATATTCACCTAAAACTCTCTGTCATCTCATGTTGTAGGCTGCATGCAATTTACCAAATATGTATAATAATTGTTGAATAATTAATTAATATATGAATACTCGGCCGCGCCTGGCAAATTCGTTAAACTGATACTAGCTAGCTTTTGTTGATAAACGCGCGCAGGCATCGGCATCGAAGCTGTTGAAAGAGACGTGCAGCTACATAAGAAGCCTTCATCGGGAAATCGACGACCTCAGCGAGCGGCTGTCGGAGCTCATGGCAACTATGGACAGCAACAGCGCTCAGGCACAGATTATTAGGAGCCTGCTCGCATCTTCATCATAACTCTTTTTCTTGCTCCCCTCAATGATATAATTATTAAATAATCCCTACGTATCTATTTCTCTTCGAATTTTTTTTTTGTAGGGAAGATGGAGAGACTAAATCTATGAACTTCTAAACTATTATTTTTTATTCTAGAAAAACATGTGTTTTGATTCTTCTGATTAAAAATTCAAGAGAAGCCTCCTTTGATGCAAATATTCTAGAATCTTCTACTGAAGAATTAATAGACCCTTCTAGAATATTGAAGAAATAAGCTTATCACTCTTCTTGATGCAAATTTCAATTATTCCAATTATATTGCGTGACAGTTTAAACTTTTCTTTTGGAATTGCCTTTGTGAATATTTCTGCTAATTGTTTTTCAGTCTTGCAGTGCTTTGAGTTTAATTTTCTAATTCGTCTCAATTTTTCTAATAAAATAATATTTGATGCCAATATATTTCGTTCTTCCATGAAATAAAGGATTTTTTTACTCCGAATGGAGACTCTCACCTCATCAATAAGTTGGTTGGCTTATGCTACATTCTGTGTGGAAGTGAGTCCAAAATCTGATTTACCCACTCAACGCCCCCATTATAGTTGGTATAGTTGTTTTATTGTCATAATAGACTTTTCTAGCTCCTTTATCTATCTCGCCCCATATCTTTTAGTATGGATTTTAGTCATATAGCTTTTTTTGTAGTTGTGGTTGCTACAATATATTCATCTTCAGTTGATGATTCTGCAACAGTGCTTGCTTTTTTTATGCCCAAGAAAATATTCATGAATTTGGTGTGAATGCATATCCTAAGGTGTACTTCATGCCATCCACTGATCCTTCCAAATCACTATCAGTATATCCGACTAGCCTTGAATTAGGAATGTATTCATATGAAATGTCATAGTTCTTCATTACTTGTAGATATCTAAGAACTCTTAATTGTTCTCGATGAACTTAGCTTGGACTTTGCATAAATCTTTGGAGCAGACTTGTTGCATACATGATATTTGGTCTTGTAATTATTAGATAAAGTAAGCTCCGAATGAGACTTCTATAAAATGTGTTGTCATTCTTTAGTGTATTATCATGTTTCATAAGTTACTTGTTTTCTTGTAGGGTAGTTATTATCTTGTAATTGTTCATCTTAAACTTTTTTAAAGATTTTCTATAAATATCTATTGTGAAATATATATATCTTGATCTCACTTCTGTGTAGGTTAAGTACTATAGCTGAAGAAAATTTATTTTTATATTTAACTTACACATTTTGTTTCTTGTGAAATATGAACATAACAAATACAACCGAAGAGACTTAGATGTTCTATAGATGGCCTCTTTCAATTCCAAGCTTCAATTGGTATCTTGTATTTCACTGCTTTAGTTGGAAATCTATTTAATAGATAGACTAGATTAAAAACTTTTTTGAAGGCTCATATACAACAACATAGTTCTTATTGTTTGTATTATAGTTTTGTTCTTCCTTTCGGAAACTCTATTTTGCTCTAGTGCATATACAACTATCAGTTGTCATTCAACATCTTTTTCTTCGTAAAACTTGTCGAACTTATTGGGGGTAGAATCCTCACCAATATCACTTCTTAATGTCTTCAAATAATTTTCACTTTATTTTTAAACATAAATCTTAACTTTTTTAAAATATCAAATATTTATGATTGTTGTCGTAAGAATTAGACTCATATCATACTTGTGTGGTCATCAATGAAAATGATGAAGTATTTATTTTACTCTAGTGATGGAGTATGCATTGGTCCACAAATGTTAGCGTGAATAAGTTCATATGGATCATTAACTCTTCATGATTCATCTGATGGAAATGGTTGTTGATGTTGTTTACCGAACAAGCATCCTTCATAGACATCATTGATTTCCTTTATTATAAGGAGACCTCTTATTATGTCTTTTTTGGTGTAGAATCTTCAGCCCATGCATGGGAGTTGAAGTGCCCAAGTTGCTTGTGCCATAGACATGACTTATATATTTGTCTTCATGGTTACATTATTTATGTATTTCCACTAATAAGAAAGCACATGTTTTCTTTCATCTTGATCTTTTGTAATTTCAAGAGATTTTTCTTGCTTATTATACATTGTGCAAGCATCTCTCTGATCAAAATTTAGAGAGTATCATTTCTCAATCATTTGACCCACGTTGAGTAGATTTTGATTTATGTTTGGGACTAAGATTACATAATTGATGTATCTCTTCTCATATCTTATGTTAATAGCTATGGTGTCTCTCTTCCTATTGCCTCCATAAAATCACAATTTCCTTTTTTGACTTTCGTCTTGATTTTTCTTAAGGGAACAATATATTTCTTTATTTTTTGTCAAGTGATTACCATAACCAATATTTAGATACGATGTATCTTTCCTCTTTTCTAATGCAATTTAACAAGCATAGAAGAGATTTATATTTTCACATTTTCCCTTCTGAAAAATTGCCTTTCTGAATTTTCTTTAATCAGCAAATATTTTCTATGTGCTCAAGATTTTTACAATTTTGATATTGTGGTTTTACTCTAAACCAATACTCTTTGTTTAAATCGTGCTTTTTTGCAAATGCCACATTGAAGATATTTTTGCAACATTTTTCTTGATTATTTTTAGTTTTAAAATTTTCTTGTGAATTTCTCCCACTTTCATTTGCTTCATAAGATCACAGATTTTTTTTAAATTGAATGCATTTTCTTTGGTATTCTCACTTCTCTTATTCAATCTTTTTTCATATACTTCAAGACAGCTCATTAATTATGTTGATAATAAAGTTTATATATCTCTTGATTCTTTAATAGCATAAATTATTATATCACATTTTTCTGAATAAGAAATTAGTATCTTTTTTACTATTTTCTTGTCAAAAATGGTTGTTTCATAGGCTCTCATTTGATTAAATATTTTCTTTATCTTGGAATAGTAATCTTTTGTTGTCGTTTTTTTTTTTATTTTAAGATTCTGAAAATCTCTTTAATGTTTCTATAATTTAATGAAGTGTATCTTCTTAGATCCTTGAAACTCCTCCAATAATGTGTTCTATGTTGTTTTACAATTAATGCACCGAAGATTTGAGAAAAGATGTCATTTAACATTCTCTGTTAAGAAACAAAAAAACTTGAGAGCCTTTTTGTTAATTTTCTCCAAATATCTTCATTAAAGTAACTTTAAGAACATTGAATTCTTCGTTAATGATCTTCCAAATTTTGTGAGTGAAAATAGTTCTTCATTTTAATGTACCAAAGGTCATAATTTTCTCCATTGAAGATTAGAATCGAGACAGATAAGTGTTTCAGGTCGGCAATTGTAAATATATTGATACAACACCCAATCAAATAATTCAACAAAGCTCCAATATATTTATTGGAATTTTTTTAAGAGAATAGGGAGAATTTTTTTACTAAATCTTACTGAATAATTTTTGGCTTGCATGACAACAACATATTTATGTCTATTTTTAGAAATGTGAGACTAAATTTAGAAATTTCTAAACTCTTTCATTTCCCTCTGGAAACGAAGGATATAAAAGCACAGGCTCTCATTTGGTCCCTACTTCATTTGTCACAGAGCCCACGTGCTCTTCTTTGGTGCTCGGGCGCTTGAAAACTATGCTAAGAAATGCCTTTGGAGATCTTAATAAATTTTGATGCTTCCGGCCAAGAGTGAATGGAATCACTTCAAGGCTAATGAACTAAGAGTGGTAAAGAACAATCTGCACTTGAAAGCATTTGAGACCTTTAGCAGGCACATTGAAGATTCGAGTGAGGTGATCTGTTCATTGGGATCTAACCGCCCCTGATAGGCATTCGACACTGGAAGCTTAAACTTTTCTTGGAGTTCAATTCCAAAAACATAAATGAAGAAAGGATTCTCCGACTTGAATGGTCTTACTTTGCGCCCGAGTCATTGCTTCTCCACCTGTGCTGATCTTACGTTGTCTTTTACTGTGAGTCATTGGCTCTCTTAGGGTCATTGTTCAATCTTCTGTTGTTGTACGTCGATGTGGCCTCCTACAGCAGGTTCTGCTCTTGGTGGACCCGACCTCTTGCTTGGGCTGCGACGGTTCTTAGGAACTCCACGTTCTGACTCGATACCCGATCCATGATATGAGTTCTCATCTCTTGCATTCCTCTATGTCTTCTCGTGTTGGTTCTACGTTGGCTATTGCTCTTTGGCCACCCTCTTCTCTCTATGATAGTTGTGCTCCTCTTCTTGTCGGTGATATGACTTCATACTCATCGTACCTTCTAGGATGTGAATCCAAAATTATCTGGGAGACACAACTAAGGAATAGAGAGCAAAGGGGGGAGAGTAAAAGCATAGTAAATTGTTTGTATGATTTCATTTTATACAAACAATGGGCCCTTTATTCATAGTATAGAATAAAGGCATAGTATAGAACAGTAAATTTGATTAGTTTTTATTCATGAAATGGGCCCTTAATTATAGGAATTGGGGATTTATGATTTCATTTTATACCCCTAGTATACATAGATGTGGCGGGGGTGTTCTAGTTAGCACATGAATATTGGTCTGGGAGCCTGGTGAGCTCCCGGCCGGACAGGGTCGGGTTCTTAAGACGGCGTTTGGTCGGACAAAGACGAGTGTCTATGACAACCTCCTGCCTAGGACCTATATCCGATTTGGCTATTTGTTGAGTTTGTCCTGCACTGTTGAACGGTGTCGGGAGCCTATGACAGCCTCTCGCATGGCTTCATTTTGGACGTGTGATTGTTCAGTAGGGGCCTGGAGTAAATTGTTGATTTGGCTATTTGCTGAGAGTTTATCCCTGCATAGATGGGCGGAAAGGAATTTCGAGGCGAGGCGATTCACTTCGCTCATTTGACCAAACTAGAAAAAGGTGTTGAATTCATCTAGATGGGACTTGTGCTGGTAGAAGAAAGTGGTAGAATTACATCTATGGAGGAAATGCTTTCCTCCCGTCAATGGGAGGCGGTTGGTTAGGCATGGAGTATAGAATTTTTGGTGGCGGCCCCCCATGATGCTACGCTGCCTCCGGTCTTGGGATTTTTTAGAGATTCGAGAGAGAGAGAGAGATTAAGAAATGTAATTAGGATTATTAATTAATTAATCGGGGAAGTTGAGTAGAAATGATT